AGATTATTACTAATCTAAAAGTTTAATCAAATGTAAAAGTTCGATAACAGATGGATTAATAATTAACTTCTTGTTCTAAAGATAAACAAAGCTCACTATATTCAGTGTTAACTCATTGGTGAGGGTGGTTAGGATAATGAGTAAGAATAAGCTAGTTCAAGGGTTAAACGGTATTGTCAGGGAGATCAAATTTTTTAAACCAAATTATGTAATTGTAGATAATTGAATTATTAATTAAATGGTAATTAATATGTTTGTTTCTCATTAGTGACACATTATTTGATTTACAAATTTAATTTGAAAAATTTGAACTCCCAAACATTATCTAGGTTCAAAACTGCAACTAAAAATATATATTTAATCATGAATAAAAATTGAGTTAGAGAGAGAGAGTTAGATAGGGGAACTTACAAGCAAGAAAGCTTTAATCTGAGTTCTGGTAATTTTAAGCTCAGCCTTGTCATCTTGATACTCCTTCAAAAGCAAGTCGATCAAATCCAAATCCTCTCTCTCCCAGCCCTCTCTCTCCCCTTTCTTTTCATGCTCCTTCAGCATCTTCTCAAAAAGCTCATCAAACTCCCACGACACGTCCGCAAGCTGCTTCCCATAGAGCCAAAAGCCTAGCCTCTTCAACGGCCCCAGCACATCCCCATAAGAAACCTTGGTCGCCAGCCGTAGCGTCCTCATCATCATCTTCCTTATCCTCGCAGCCTCGTCGCCATTCTCCGAGCAACTAGTACTCATCACCATCTTGCAAGTGGAGTTGTTCGTAAGCTTCATGAGCTCGCTTCCCAAATCAACCACCTCCTTCTTTTTAGCACTCTCGACCAACTTCTCACAAAGCTTACCAATTTCTACTTGTCTAGTATTGCGCGAGCGTTCGAGCTGCCGCGGCGCGAACAGTTCCGTCATGCAGAGCTTCTTCATGAACTTCCAATAGTCACCGTACACAGCGCCGAAGAAACCCGAGTTTCCGTAGGGAAGTTCGTCCGCGAAAGCAAATGCCGGGCGATCCGCAAAGGAGAGGTCTTGGGTTTTGAAGACGTCGGTGGCCACGGAGGCGGAGGAGACGAGGAGCATTCGAGAGGCGCCGAGGCGGAGGTGGAGGAGAGGGCCATATTTGGTGGAGAGGTTTTGGAAGGAGATGGCCTGGTGAGCTGTGGTTAGATGGTGGAGGTGGCCGATTAATGGGAGGGCCGGTGGGCTAGGTGGAGGACGAACTTGAGTGGCTGACTTGGGGGAATACTTGTTGAACAAGGATCTAAGTAAGAGGGTCGAGAGATAGCATATAAGGAAGTAGAGAAGATAGTATTGGGCATCGTTTGTTGTTGCCATAGCTGCTGAACTCAAGGTCCCAACAGGCTGATCTGATCTGCTTGTAATTATGCGCACCCACAAAAAGTGAATGAATCACACACATTCCTACACTGATTATTATTTTTATATGTATTTTAGTAAATGTTGGCGGCTTTGACTCCAATTTAATATGCATATTGAAATACTAATATATTCTCCCATCATCGTCATAACGAAAAAAAAAAAGGACTTGGATTGTCTGCCCTCCCATTTCGGTGCTCTTCTCGTGCCCTTCTGTTTTGTGTGGTCACGGTTAAGCTACGTTAATATTTTATATTATTTTTTTATAAAAATAATAAAATAAAAAGAAATAGTAATATAAAATGTTGACGTGGCTTAACTATGACCACAAAAACAGGAGAGCACGAGGAGGGCACCAAAATTAGAGGGCAGACAATCAAGTCCAAAAAAAAACATATATTCTTGCGGGTGCCATGTTATGGATAAGTGAACAACTACAATATAGGTAGTGGGGTCTGCTGTCCCTTATTTTCATGTCTCCTTTGTGTAATTTTTTGACACGTGGCATTCATCTTAACTCTATATAAACACTGTTAATTTTTTTTAATAGAATTTTAAAAAAAATTAAAGAAATACAAATGAACCCCACCAAACAAATCACCCCCAATCGCCGGTCTCTTTATTCACCAACCCATCATCGTCATCTTCTTCTTCTGGGTCAAATCAATGAAACCCAGTTTAGGCTCCCACAGCCCACCGGTTCTGGAACATCGTCTTCGTCGTCAACCTCATCCTCCTCACCATACTGCTTTTGGGTTTGTTTGTGTTGAATTGGCGGTCGAGACGATTATGGGTTATGGGTTTGTTTGGGTTGAAGTAGCGGCAGAGACGATTTGGGGACGTCTTGGGATTGGGGGTTCTACAGGTTTGGAGATTGAGGACTGTGATTGGATCCATGGGGTTGATAAGGACGATAAGAAAGATGAGTTTCCACAGGGTTTAAGGGATTCTTTTGAAGGATTGCAGGAGATTAGGGAATGATTGCAGGGAGATCGGAGATGATGAGTTTCAACAGTGTCATTTCGGTTTTTTTTTTTTTTGAGTTTTTTAATTTTTAATTAAATTTTATGGAAAGTAACAATGTTAAATTTCAATGTTAAGTAAAGGACACGTGACACAAGACTAAGGGATGGTTTGGGAGTGAGATGCTTAAAAAAAAAACACCCATGAAAAAAAGCTATGAGGGTTTTAAGTGTTTGGTAAACTGAAAAAAAAAATGCTTATTTTAGAAGTTGCTGTGAGAATAAGCTAAAATCAAAGGAAAAAGTTAAAGCTGCTATTTGCAGCTTTGGAAAACTGGTTTTTTTCAAAGCACACGGAGCTACAGTGCTCTTTTAATGAAAAGACCCACTATCAGACTGTTTTTTTTTTTTTTTTCAAAAGCACTTTTACAAAAAAGTTTACCAAACACTTTGCTAATTTATTTCACAGCCGTTTATTCTCACAGCACAGCCGCTTATTCTCACAGCAGCTTTTTTTCAAAGCACAGCAATACCAAACTAGACCTAAAGAAGAGACATAAAGGAGACATATTATTTGGGACAGTAAACCCACGGCCCATAATATACGATGAGATCGAGTATTACTTCTTGTTATGGATGTTACCAACTACATAATATACGATGAACCACTAATATATGCATTTTAGTAAATGATGGCGGCTTTGACTCCAATTTAATATGCATATTGAACTGCTAATATATTCTTACTGATGGCATGTTATGGATGTTAACAACTACATAATATACAATGAGATCGGGTATAACTTGGAGTCAGACAACTAACTGCGAATAGATGTTTATGTCTATTTAATTGGAAGTTTTTTGTACGAAAATGGAAGGAAAAAAAGGTTTCTCCTCAATATAAGAAAAGTTTTTTTTTTTTTTGGAACAAGGAAATGCATTCCAAGGCCGACGCCAAAAGGTACTTGAAAGCCTACAAGGAGGCAAACACCCAGCAAGGCACAACTAAAAGAACAGCGATGAAGAGGATACAACCAAGAGACGCATCAACCAATTTTAGTGTCACCCCTAACATCACCACTACCTCTCAATGTGGACATGGGAAACCATTCTTATTCAAAACATGTACCATCGAAGATGGGGGGGCGATCGACCCAAACACAATCACACATCTCCGAAAAACCAACTGACGCAAGGAAATGCGCCGCCAGATTGGCTGATCTTGGCACCTAAGACCAGTGACAATTCTGGAAAGCCTCACCCAGCTGCAAGACCCAAACCAAAGTAGGGAAAGCCTCTCAATTGCCATTATCAAGAGAACCCGCAAGACAAGAGATAGTTTCAAGAGAATCCGACTCAACAATGACCGAGCAAAGACCCAAAGAAGTACCAACTTCACAACCACGGAGAAGAGCTAATGCTTCTGCCGCAGCAACATTAGGAGCCTGAATAGAATACCTGGCTGCAGCCACAAACCGTCCCTCCGCATTCCTCAGGACTACTCCAACAAAACCCAATTTAGACACCTTAGACCAAATAGCATCAACATTAATCTTAGTAAATGGAGATGGGGGAGACAACCACCATTGAACTGTACCATGCCGAGCATAAACCATCGCCTGACCATTCCCCGAGAGCCCCACCGCATCCCAATAAGAACTAACCGCATATGTCAACTCCAGCAACAAACAAGCGGGATTAACTTGTACCTGATTGAACACAAAATCACACCGAGCTTTCCAAATAAACCAACAGGTGAAAGCAACTTAGGACTCAACCCACACCCTATCAGCCGTGGACCCAAGGGGAATAGACATGACAGCCTGCAACCAACTCACCCACGAATGAACACCAGCTCAATCAACCCGGTAGTCAAGAGCACCACTAAACCAAACAACTTCCACCCACGGACAAGGGAGAAAAAGATGTTAAAATATAAGTAATACTTATTTCATGACGGGTAGAGAGGCAAGACCATTGAATATTGATTTTGTTTACTTTATCTTTTATAAGACAAGTGATATTTTTTTAAAGGAAGATTCAAACTTAGATGCAAGATGTTAAAATACATTGGACAAAAGTTACACATTTAAATTTAAGAAAAAAAAATTGGAATGAAAAATAATATTTTTTTAATGAATGAAAATTAAAATAAAATGAGAAAATGTAGGAAGTGGGAGAAAGTAGAAGAGTAAAATATTTGATTTAAAAAAAAATATAAAACAAGAGTAAAATATGGCTATTTACTATATTCCCCTTAATTTTATATCCATTGTAAACTTATTAAAGATGTAAAAGGGCATGAAATTTCAACCTCTTTAGTTGAAAAGAGGGTTTTCTAAATAATATTATACATTTTTGAACAAAAAAATAAATAATAGTATAGATAATGTGTTGAAGCGATTCATTTAACTTGACGACAGAGTGTATCTTTTCCAATTGTTTAGCGTTTTTAAGTAATTTGTGGTGCATAACCTTTTTTGTAATTTATTAATTACTGAGAGTCCAATCTCCCTAAATGAACTCCGAACGAAAAATAAGGAGAACTAAGAAAAATCAATCTCTAATCACTTCTTCTATTGTGCTCCACGATATGATTTGTTAGTTTATTGCTTTGGTAAGGTGTTGACTTCATAAGATTGCAAAGGAAGAAGTATTATGGGAGTTTTGGTCCTTTTGCTCTGCCCTAAAAAATGTAGGGCATGGTTCCTACTTAAACATCACGAAGAAAGTTGAAGTTCTACAATAAAACTAATTGACAATATAACGAGTAGTCCAACCTCTTATAAGCTCATGCAAAATCCCTCCTCCCATCAATGTGAGACTTATTCTCAACAGTCAAGTTGCCAATCCAGAGATACAGTACAATAGACAACGCAAGCCGCATAGACCATATGACTGCAGTTGCCACAGTAGAATATACTTGTGCAGGTACTATATCCACATTCAGAACCTCAACATTCTCTATTTGCTGATGCAACTTCTGCCATACATCATTCCAGCTATATATTGGCATTCGGTCAACCACATGACGCCGAAAAATAACCTCCTTCAAATTCCCTTTCGCTCCTTCCATTTTCTCATCCTTGTAGTAAGGTAGAATCACTGCAGAAGTTTCTCCATTATTCAACAGAAGGGTTTAAAGAAATAAAGATGACACATTTAAAATGTAATCAATGTCTTGGACTCTTGGCATATGCAACTATCATGAGAGCAACAAAGAGCCCAAAGAGGTAAATAGTGTTTTAGAGGTTATGCCTGATCCTTTATAAAAAAAAAAACAAATTTTTTTATACGAAAATACAACACGGAGAAGTAAGTGTAATTCAGCTAAATAATGAAGCAACAAAACAGAAGCCTTTGAAAGAAAAACAAAAGAAAACCAAAGTTACAATCACATACCAATCAGGATAAATAGAATGAAAGGACCATTTCTCAAAACATGATTGTATTATAAATTCCCAATTACATAGGAACTCAACTTTTAACGGATGGGATACGCCATTATGTGCAGCAGAATTTTTTAAAGCAACAACTGGATTGACTAGAAGGATGATAAGAAAATAATTTTAAAGCGTGGAAAAAGAAAAAGAAATAAGAACATTGGCCTAAATTGAAAAATAGTAGCCTCGAAGAAAATTTAAACTTTATATTAAGAAAACAAATTTCTACCTGATATTTTTTTACCATAGTTTGAGTACTCCATATGCTGGACATTATTTGAGTTAAGGAGTCTCCAAAAGTCACTAAAACCAATCCTGTGTGAGTTCTCAGGATCCCACTCTGTTCCCCTTAACTTTCCACGCAGAGTCAACATGGCCCTGCTAAAGTATGAAGCCATGACAAGCTGTCTCTCTAACTGCAAATTTGCCTTGTTCTCAAGTTCTTCCAACTCATTTATCCTTTTTTACTCAGCATCCTTCATTTTCTACAAATCAAGGAGAAATAGTAAGTGAAAGAAATCAAATTATTGACATTGATTTAGTTTTCCCTTTAGAGAGACAATTTAGAGAAAGAAAGGAGGAGAACTGTATAATGCATAAGGTGAACATACAATGTGTTTACATAGGATTTCAAGACATAACTAAAATTAGTTAAACATCCTCTTCAGCATGGTGACTCACAAATGATCCGTGTTGTAGTTGAAGAGCGAGTAATTAGCCAAAGTTACCATATAAAAACGTAATAACTAAGACAAAAAAAGGGTATTAACTAATAACTAAGCCCAAGTCTTCTAGTAGATTTCACCTCTTTAAACACCCTAGTTTCACTGTTTTTTTAAGACTTGTTCCTACTTAAATATAAACTGCCAATTTATAACAACCCCCAAATAAATAATAAATAGCACAGTAAGTGACTAGACCAACAATAGATGAAAACAATATCATAGGAGTAGTAGGGTAAACATTACACAAACACTACTGATACACAAAAAAAAAAAAAAAAAAAAAAAAGAATTTGGCAGCTGTATATAAGAACACCTAACTACTTTGAAACAGAAACAAGGATTCAAATACAGCATCACACTAAAATACCATAAAAAAGAAAAGTGACCCTAGTTTTCACTAGAAATCTCAACACCCTCATAAACTTTGTTCTGGCATTGATATATTCTGCAATGAGAAGAGCATGCCCATGCAGTGAAGCATCCTCCAGCCTTTCACATAAACCTAAAGCAGTGGTAATATGAGATTTAGAATAACACAACCAAGCATATAATTTGTTTTGACTATAAAACTATTGTTTTAAGGGAACAGTGTAACTCCGTAAGATTGGCAACTGTGATAGCTAGCCTTCGTCTCACAAGAACAACACATAAACAGAGTTTAGGATTCTACAAATTCACATTGATGGACAAGAATAAAATGGGCTATTAGCCATTGACACCAAGTTGCCATCTATTTAGTCTGGTTAAGGTGGCCTAACAGGTATGGGAAGATTTGGCACCTATAATCCCAAGTCACATCTCACCAACAATCATCAAACTCACAACCCAATGTACCGATTACTATTGACGCAATCTTCAGCACCGAAGCGTCACTTCAGTCTTAGCTGTGCATAATTCTACTTCCTACTTCATTCAAATGCAAGTTCTTCACTCTCACTAAACCAGCACAAAGTTAAGTTTACCATTAAGATTTATCCTTTTCCTTCATTTCCCCTTAACAGTCCATAAACAAATCCAAACAGACACATAACCAAAACCAATTGAATAACCACAATCGATTACCAACAAATAACATGGAAATCTTACTTTTCATTGGCTAAAACAAGAAAAGAGAATTACTTTCCTAATTCTTCACCCTAATTATATTCCCTGTAATTTTCCCAGCACCTAAATAGATCCAAACAATTGAAATTTCAACAGCCAAAACCCATATACCAAATTCTCAACAAAATAAAAATTACACCTCAAAAGCCACAGCGCCGAGCTCGTTGTCCCCAAATCGACAATTTCAACTTTCTCGTTGACTATGCGAAGCGGCCCGACTCTTCTCGTTTGTCCCAGTCTCTGACCTAAAAACACATTCTTCGGGGTTGTGAAATTTGGCGTCTTACTGAAGAACTACGCGAACTGCCCAGGACGTTGATTTGAGCTGCGGGGGAAGGCATGCCTGTGGAATTTCAGGTGAAATTATGGTTTTTCGTTCATCACAACTGTGGCAGTCCTGTCCCAGCGCAATGGAAGCGTATGAGACAAAGCATCGAGAATGTTTGTGTTAGTGAGAAATGGAAGTCAAGCGGGAGGGGATAGGGGGAAGAAGAGAAAAGAAGTTGCAGGGGTTTTTGGAATGTTCTATTGCCCGTTTGAAGATTTGATTAGATTCTGACCGTTTGATTTTGGAGGAAATAGATTATGGTCATTGTTGTTTCCTGCATGAGGTTTTTTTATTTGAATTGGTAGTCTTGTAAAAAAATATAGTGGAGACGGGTAGATATACAATATATAATCTCATGTATTTGTTAATTATATTAGCTTTTATTTTGTCAGTTACCATATCGTGAAAAGTTAATTACATAACTCATTTGGATATCAATAATTGAGCGATAACACGTCGTGGACAATTGTAAATTGTATTAGTATTTGCTTTATAAATTATAGTTACGAAATGAGGTACAGCAATGTCAGCATACCCGTCTCCGACTCTCGGAAACGTTGCATCCTACAATTCACCATCTCCTAACGAATTCAATCAAATTAGCTCAAATACCCCTAATCCAATATCATTGTACCAATAAAAGATAGTGCTATTAACACACCTAATTTTACCTCTCACACACCTTTGTTAATCTTTTAGCAATGATCCTCGATTCATTCGATACGACCGCAAAAAATTGAGGGGTGTGGAGAAGTAAAAATGAGTGTGTATAACACGCCACTAAAAGTACATTCTGCAAAGAAAAACAAATGGAAACAAACGCAATCCATTCACTCTTATTAAAAGACTTTTCTAACAAGTTCTTTGAGAAAGATCAAAAGGATTGACAAGCACTGAATTCTTGTGAGAAATAAAAGGATCAACATCGAAGTCAAGAAACAAGCTACCAAAAACCACCATAACAAAACTGAAATTATGTTTTCAACAGTAACTGAAACCATACCAAACAAGCAAACAGCCTCGGAAACTATTCATCAAGGGAATACTAATACATCAAAACCAAATATAATGTCTCAAATCATACCGCCAGAAACAAAATACACATCCGCAAGCTCCAATCCTGCAACAAAAACAAGGTAAGCATAAATTAACACCGTAAAGATGCATTTATACTCCAGCACAATGCACAAACCCTATCTTGTAAGATAATCCAATTATCCTAACTAAAAGCCAAGAAATGCTCATTGCAGCATCAAATTTACTGATACAAACGCTATACTTACATATCTTGTTGAAGGCTACGATGTCGCAACTCTGGACATACTCGTTAATTGGTTCAACAGTAAGTTGCTCCTCAATGAGAGTATCAACAGAGACCAGGTCATCAACAATTGTCATCATTATTTGCAACTTCTTAATCCCGTACCCAACAGCTACGAGTTTGGCTGCACAATTAAGAAAATAATAACTGAATTCACATCAAGGACTAAAATTTGTACAATTAAACATTAGCTTGCACAATAATAACTTAATATGTGTATATCAACGGCAAAATTGTTGCTACATTGTTTTAAGTAAATCTGTCCCCTTTAGCAACAAATAATCCTTAGATGAAGGAAGAACTTACATGCTCCCCAAAGCAAGCCATCCATGTGGACACTTCTTACAGCCTCCTCAAGCTTTTTCATGTCAGTTTCATCATCCCATGGCTTCACATCCAACAGAACCGATGACTTGCCAGACTCTTTCTTCTTTGTAGATGCCTTGATGGAAGCCGCACGCTCTTCAGCAGCCTTCTTCTCCTCTTCGGTCTCTTCACCAAAAAGATCAACATCGTCATCGTCATCCTCAGCAGCTGAGGCCTGAAAATCATATCATATTCTAAAACATTAGTATAACAATGTCATCCAAGTTCTTCAAGCTGATAAAGCAACAAAGTCCAACCTCGAAAAATTCAATTATCCTAAAACAGTGATAAGGAAACATAAAATGAAGAACTACTTGCCTTAGTGTCAGCAACAGGAGGAGTAGCAACTGCTTCCCTGGTTACGGGAGCAGATCCCTCAATAGTGACACCAGATCCTTCTCCGCAAACACCACTACAACAATGAATATAATCAAATAAGTCAAAGTGTTCACGCAAACATACACGTTTCAAAGAAATCCATTAGAACTAATAACAAACAGATAACAAACCCATCAAAGGTTTTACGAACTTACGAAATCCTAAGAAGAGCAGCAATGTGGTTGTACCACCTAGACACATTCACAAATTCCGAAGACGGGGCCTTGGAAAGAGCTGCATGCACAGTGATATCATCTTTGGAAGCCTGATAGCCAGTGATGTAACTGCGAGAAAGCAAGTAGTCATCAAGTTTCTTCAGGCCGGCAGCTGAGTTCACGTCAAAGAATGTGACTGCCATTGCTTGGTCTTCCGGTGGTTTTTCCTGCAACCCATATCAGAAAAAATTAAGTCTTTCATCCCTAGATGATTACCAATCAGTGCCAAATATTCAATTACTAGAAAATTAAAACCCTTTTTCGGAAGAAAAAAAATTTTAAATCGAAAGCAACCAATTGCATCCATATAAACACAAAATTTAAACCAAAAAAAAATTTCGGAGAAAAACAAACTTCAATAAATAGACAGATTCATGAACGATATAGCCAAAAACACTATGATTCGATAAAAAGTAGGGATCTTTAGCCTTGGATCTGAGCATACCTGAAGAGCGAGAGAGCTGCGGAGTGAGAGCGAGAGAGAGTAAGAGGTGGAGATTTTTAGGGTTTCTATTATTTTTATAGGCAATTGGGATTTCTGGGTATACGAGGAATCGTTTAATTGGGCCGGGGTACGGCCCAACAAGTTTAAATAAAATCAGTGTGAAACAAACAACATGACGCGCGAAACGCCGTCGTTTTGCACTTTGCGCGCTGATAGACCCACCCACCGTCGTCGAGCTCGAGCAATTCCCAATTTCCAGCTGCGGGAGCGGTGAGAAGAAGAGGAGAGAGAAGAAAGGAATGCCGAAGAGAACAACACACACGTACTCGAGCGAGGACGCAGCTCCGGATGGACCCGACTCGGACCTCTTCGTTTATTACTGCAAGCACTGTGGATCCCACCTCCTCATAACTGGTTCTCTCTCTCTCTCTCTCTCTCTCTATACATACATATAGATATAGATGTATATATTTGTGTTGTTTGTACTTGTATGATTAGAAATTTATAAGCTTGAAAGTTAAAAATTGGGTAATGCTGATTTGAATTGGTATTTTTGTAATGGGTGTAATCGTTGGTTTTGGAAGGAGTTTCTTGAATAATGTTTTGGGGGCTGCAATTTTGCGATTATAGTGAAATGTATGTTGTTTAAGATACCCAGTTGCAGAAAATGCCGAAAAGGAAGACGGACAAGGCTTATGTGTTGGACAAGAGCAAACATCTTGCAAGGCTCAACATTGCTGAGGCTGGAAAAGTTTTATTGAAAAGGTGCTTAATTTTCTTTAGTCCAAATATAAATTCGGTGTTTTCACTGTGTGTGTTTGACACTGGCCCTCGTTTTCCCGTACTTTTCTAATGATTAGTTTCTCGAGTAGGATTGTAATGATTTTGCAACATTGTGATGCCTTGAAATCTTGGTTGATATAATTATTCAGAGGGGAAGGGAAATTGGAGAAGCAGTTTCGAATGAACTGTGTGGGTTGTGGGCTCTTTGTTTTGTACCGCTCGGAAGAAGACTTGGAAGGTGCTTCTTTCATTTATGTTGTTGATGGTTCTCTAAGCACAGTTGCTGCTGAAACCAACCCACAGGTATATAGGAAATACAAAGGCATTTTCCATCATCTTGTGAATAGTAATTGTCTTGTGTGGTACCAGGATTTTGGAAAAGGAATATTTTCTATAAATAAAGGGAAATAGCTGTTTATGTCTCATTTGATCTTCCTTGTCATGCATTTGTTGGGTTGTGAACGTAGATTTTGGCTTAGCAATTAAGGAATTTGTTCCTGAAAGCATATCAAGTCCCTATTGCTATGTCGTCAATGGAAGTTTTTTTATGAACCTCCACATTTATTCACTCTGTCCATATTTCCTAATTGGTGTGTGTAGGATGCTCCTGTGCCGCCCTGTATATCAAACCTAGAAGGGGGACTTGTTCAAGTTGCTATAGAAGTGGAAGATCGTGCACAACGGTCAGCAATCACAAGTAAGAGAAATTATTGAATGTTTTCCTGTCATCTTATTCAGCATGCGATGCTTGCTTGGTAGGTCAAATTGCAATCATAAGTCAGAATTTCCTGCATATACATGAATTGACATTTTGGATTTCTTGTACGGCAAGTACTAGTCCTTTTTTATGTCTCTATGCATCTCATTACAACACTTGTAGCTGGCAGTTTTAATATGTAATAATACTTGCCAAAAGAAAGTTGTTTCCTGGAAATTTAGTTGCTGATTATTTAAACACTTTTTCCTCTTATGCCAGGAGTGAATGCTGATGATGTTAGAGTCACTGTAGCTGCACCTGCTGCTCGGGGAGAAGCAAACAATGAGCTCTTGGAATTCATGGCCAAAGTATAATTCTGCTTCATCATTGTCTGTTAAACTTATAGGATTCCAATCTTTCGGAACAAGTGTCAATTTAAGCCTTAACACAATTGCTTTTTTGCACAGGTGTTGGGTCTGAGACTAAGCCAGATGACTCTTCAAAGAGGGTGGAATAACAAATCAAAACTCCTTGTGGTGAGTAAAACATGTTTTACTATCTCTCTCTCACTCTCTCATTTGCTCATTGGGTGGCTTCTTGGGTGTTGTTGATCATAATCTGTTTCAATTGTCCCTGTGAGAGCAATATCGTTTTTGTCAAAAGAAGTTTTCCAACGTTGTATGCATTAACTTTGATGTCAGACCCAATTCATTGATTTGTTTCTTGATGCACAAATACATGATACATCTACTCTTTCAAACTTAGGATAGGATAGCTTATCAAAGTAACGGTACTGTTTACAAATAATAGCAATCACAAGTAATGGCAGCATGAATTTAGAAGCGACGTATGCAGAGAACCCCATATAGTTGTTCAAGGATATGTGACATATGCCATTGTAACTCCGAAACTGCTTAAACTAATTTAACTGATCTTGCTAGGGTTTCTTCCTTAACATTTGGTGATTGTTTTAGGTAGAGGATTTGTCTGCTAGGCAAGTATATGAGAAACTTCTGGAGGCTGTGCAACCTTGAGTCTTTACAGTTCAAATGTCAGCTCTAATGAATGTCATCAGTCGACGTGTATGTTTACAATTTACCCTGGACATCAGCGGTACAAATTTTTCTTGTGTTAGTTGTGATTGTTGTGGTGCAATATGGAATTTCAATTGTACAATCCCTGTATCTTTTAATGATTTGGTTAAATATATGCACCTTTTTCTATATCCGTTATAATCCACTCTCTCTACTCACCTCTATGAAAGATGTCAGCAATGTGATAAATAAGATTAGTGTCAATTTTTGCGCAAGTAGGGAAGGGTCACGAAATGTGATTGCTCGTGGCAGTCAATCGCGCAAATGCTGCCCGAGATTCAAACAAGATTAGTGTAAACTTTTGTTAGACAAGTAGGGTTAGGCATATGGATGGTGTAACTGTGAGCAATCTCCTTTCTTGCTTACCAGAATGATGCATGTTGCAGAATTTACCACATCTCTTCAGTGTTGTGTCATCAAAGCCAAACATTACAAGTGATTAGGAATGTAGTAAAGATAAATAACTCTTGATTATTAAAACCAAATAGCAGTTTATTACATCGGAAATCAAATTACAGCGAACACAAATCCTAGTTTAAAGGTAAAACCGACGCGATTCAGTGCATATATATCTCAACACACAGCGTCTTATTGTTAACAGTAGCATATGAAAATATAACACATTTATTCAAGCTAGAAAATATGCTCCTCAGCTCCAAGCTTCAACTTCTAAATCATAATGTCACCTGCATCAAGAAAAACAGACTCATCAATCCTAAATTTTCAGAAATAAACAACGGCTGCAATATGAAAATAGTTGCCTCATCATCTAGCGATTTCACTAATTAGTACCGGATCGAAAAACTGTGCCCGAGGAGCTAGAAGGTACATGGTTCAAAGTTGGCGCCGCACTTCTCCGGGAGCTGCATGGCCATACTGCGATCAACGCCAGAGATCGGAGGGCCATTGACGAGCACACAGAGGCAAGGCTGGCCAAGAGCTTTGAGGGCACCGCAGCAAATCTCACTCGGGGGGATGGGGCTGAAAGGAACAACTGCTGCTCTGCAAGGTATTAGCTGAACTAGTGCCGAGAAGAAGGTGCTTGCACAAGTACTTCCCTGCCCTTGATCCACCAAACCCGCCATCACGAACACAAACATCAAAATTGGAAGAGCCATATTTTTCCTGCTAGTAAACCTCATCTTAATTGAAACTTAGAACTAAGATTAATTGTTAATTATGTTTGGGTAATGTTAGGGAGAAAGCGTCACGAATTCGGATTTATAGGGGATGATGAGGCTTTCATGCCATCATGCATGTCCATCCTACTCAAAGGTCACACCTATGATGCCAGTATTCTCCAGCTCTGCTGCTCAGCTGTATACAAAAGCTAGTCAAGAAATACATATTGTGTGCTAGTTGTTGTAGTTGTTAAACTCAAATTTCATGACGCTTTGCATTTTCTTTAACTTCATTTATAATTTTCCAGCTTATCTCTAATCAGTTTCTTCATCCTATCGACTACGAAAATAACTCAGAAAACCTCCTGCACCTCTCAAACTCATGCTTTGTAATGATTTAGTGAACATATAAATGTCTGCTAAATCATATTGACGTAAATTCAATGTGACCAATAACGATTTCAATCATTTTCAGAGGAAATGGGTGCAGATTTGAAGCACATTTTTTCAACTTTTGTTGCAAATCAAAACAGTTCAAGACGAGTAAGAAACCAAAACTAGATGTTCAAGAATGCAATGAAATGGTAAAACTTGAATTGCTCGAGGAACAGAGGAATGTCAGTAAATGATACAACGATAAATAACGACACGATACAATTAACCGCAGTTTCTATCATCCCAACCTTCTTTATTACAATTCATATCATCCCCAAACGCCTCTTCACAATGCCGTTCTGATCGTTGACATAATACGTTATGATCTTCACATGTAACAAGTTATCAAACTTATTCTTTGTTGCCTTTGAGATTGATTACTGCAAGCTCTTGTTCAACAAACTCTCCTGCATAAATGGGCGGATATTTACTCACAAGCGGGGATTCTGCAAAGTGACCTAAGGGCTTCAACACAGCATCAGATGCTATGTGTGCAAACAACTACACAGCAAGAAATGTCACAAATAAGCATACAATGCATTATAATATTTTTATTTATATAAAACCGAAAAGAACATAACGATAACAATGACAACAATGTGACTGGCTTCACTCACTGTTGAAGATACTCTCCATAGTAAGCGACTTTGCTCTGTTGCAAGCTTGATTGCATCAATCGTCCTGTTTGTTACGATAACTTCATGCAATCCAGCTATGCAATCACCTGCAGTCAACCATTCTATCTGCACATAACAAATTGTGTGAATGGAATAGAACTAGCATAAATACTTAAAACACAACACATGCCAAAGGAAACCAACGTAAAACAGCAATTCAAATCAAAGTGAGAACTCGAACAAAAAATTGACACAACTAACTTTTTCTTTGTTACAATTAAGTTTGAATACATTTAGGTTTTTGGTACAATTAGCACACCTATTTAAATGTTTAGAATACGTTCCATTTTATCTTTTAACCATAAGACGTGCATAACCTTCTTTTAT